GAGTAAGAAAAACTAGAATTTCACTTTGGTCAACTTAAGTTTATCAAAGTTTTGCGTATATGCTATATATATGAAATCTATATATGAAATATCACATATGTCATTTTATGTAAAACATCTAAGAGAGTCCGCATGCTAAATAACTTTTCCTAGTAAAATATAAAGCTGGAAAATAGTTTCCATGAACTCAAAGATATTTCTAACATATATATTATACATTTACATAACATTCTTTATTCTTAAATGCCTCGAGCACATATACTATATAATCAGTTAGCTGGCAGCCCGTGTATATCTGAAGAAAAAACTGATAAATAACGCAGCTAATTTCATAAAAGTTAAAGAGCGACAGATAAAAATAATATGAAAATGGAATTCGCAGCAGTCTTCACTTGGCTTGGCCTTCTGAAATATTAAAATCATTTGAAAATTAAGTTCAAATTGCATTGCTGTGGAGGTTGTGTTGTTGAGGGTGTTGGGGTGTTGGGGGTGTGGGTTTCATGGCTGGGCTAGCGGGCTGGCGTGTCTGCGACCCCTGGGCAGCCACTGGCCGTGGCCATAAGTCGACTGTTAAATGCTACTTACGGCTGCTTCATATTCCATAGGGCAACTCAGTTGCCTTGCTTCTGCTGCGCCCCGCTCTGAGTCTGGCATAGGCGTAGGCTATTACTTTTTGGCATAAAACTTTGTCCTCAGCTCAGCGTTGACTTCTTTCGTTACTGCTGCCAACTTTTGCCAGACATTCTCGTATCCTCGTTTGGTTTGCCTGTTGTTCTCTGCAGTTTCTTTTCTACAGTTTGCGAGTTTATAAAAGCCTCAACTGCCTGGAAGGAGGGGGAGTAGCTTCTACTTTGGGCGTGGCACCTTTGGCGTTTTAATTACGCAAAAACGTAAAAGTTTTTGTAAAAGCGAAATGCAAATTAATCGATATCGTTTAAGTTAATGTGACGCCCACCAGCCCGAAATTCGGTAGCATTTGATGTTTATAAAGCAGGAGGAGGAGGGCATTTAAATCTTCACAGAGCATAAAATTGGAATGTGAAGCAACAAGGCCTAGACATAGAAACGGCAATTAAAATCGAAAACTCTATTCGTCTTCTTCTTCTTCTTCTTCTTTTCCTTCTGGCTGTTTATATATGCTAATTAATTGGCCTTTAGCCAAGTAGACAGCAGCTGAAAGTGAAGGGAGTCCGCATCGAGTATCACCAGCTCTCAATGGACCATAAATGTTAATTTCGAAAAATGATCAACGTTCATGAAGACAACAACAACACCTACAACGACATCAACAACAACAACAATGAACTGGGCCACAAAATTTAGCCTAATGAGATTTTTCAACTTATGACAAGTTATGCTAATTCAGCAACTGCTGCCACATAAGGCCGCATTGCGGGGGAGCAGAAGTTGCTATTGTTTAAGCCCTCCCCCCCGCCGCGTCCCTCCACACCACTCCACTCCACTCACTCAACAACTCGACTAGCATGGGAAGCGCTAAGCAGCGAAAGATGTTCGTCTGACCCAGTCCATAATGTAATTATTCAATGAAAACCTCTTAAGATTGAAAGCGGCTTGCGGCTTGAGGTGTCGCTGCGCTTGAGAGATATCTGGGAATTTGGTTTTATTATGAGGTTATTAGTTAAGATACTTATAGTTACTATTAATCATTATTATTTTTATTTCTAATAATACTAATACTAAAACTAATACTAACACCAATAATATTATAATACTATATATATATAATACTAATACCAAAGCTAACCCCAAATCAAATTCAAATCTTTTAGCCCTTGTATTTACCTGAACTCAATTTTTCAAGCGTCTAAAAGCGAACAGTTCCTAATTTTTCTCAGTATTAACAAAGCTTTTTTCCATATTCGCAGTTCCTCCAAAAGCATTAATAACATATAGTTAACAATTAGTTATAAAGCAAATGCGATCACATAAAGCGATTCGCTTTGAGGCAAAGCCATAAAAGATGTCACTTGGCGTGTATTGCTAATTTTTGGCAAACAAACCAGTTGACAAATGTGCGCAATAAAAAAACTTAAATTTCGAACGAAAGAGCGTTTGTCAGTTGCAGCAGCTGGCGGCCAGACACATTTCGTCGCAGGTTGCGTAGGTCGCGCTTGAAATTATAAACAAAAAACAAAAACACAAAACTTGGTTATTTCAAGAAATGTTGAAGAAAAACAAACAATAAAACTTGAAACTTAAAAGAAACCGGCTTGAAACTGTTGAAATTTTTGGCTCGCTAGACTTCCTCGCGCATTTGCACTCGCATAGCCCAGCCATCACACCCACACGCAGACACACACTCTCTAGCTTGCACGTATTCGTAATGCGTATTACGTATACGCAATGTTAGCCACGGCGCTGAAACGCATTTTGTTAATCGCACAAATGCTTTTAATAAATATGTTACTCGCTGGGTATATTTGTTGTCATAATAGCCAATAAACCAAGCATACACACGCACACTCATGTGTGTGTGTATGGCAGTCACTTCAATCCAAAGGCAATGACACAAATGTTTTATGGCCCTGTCAGGCAGTGGCAGGTCCTTTAGCCACTTGCTCCAGCCTTCCGCACAAAACACAACCATTCATATTCACACACCCATTCACACATACACACACACATTCGCACAGTTGAGTGTGTATTTGTTCGGCTCGTTCTTGCTTCTTGGGTCCACAAAATGCATTTCTAATTAAGTTAATTGCGGCAAATGCTAAACTTAAGTCACTAACCTAAATTAATAAAAGGCTGCGCAGCCGACATATGAATGTGACTGTGAATCTATGAGTGTGTTTGTGTGTGTGAATGTGTATGATTTGTGTGTGTGTGTGTGTAATACCCAGGAAATAAGTTACTGCCATTGCTTATAATGCCTTACATGCCCTTCAGCAAGTGAGCTTTATAAGTTAGCTCAAGAATTATAGTTTCGTTAGGTCAATTGACTCAGCTCTCAGCTTAAAATAGAAATGATTCAGCTTGCGCAAGTTAATATTAATAATAATTTATTGTATATAATACTTAATAAATTCTGATAAAAACTGATTGAAGCTACAGTCTAGAAAGCTCTTTGAACTAGGCACAATAATTGTGCCTGACAACTTTAATGAGCTTTCAAAACTCTTCTGTATCTTTCACGAGCTGTTCAGTAAAGCTTCAGTGGGTACATTAATTATTATTCAATCCTCGAAGCTCTTTTCTAAGTAACTTATTTGCTCAGCAACACTGAACAAACTTCTTAATTGGGTATTGACTTTAGATTTCCACCTAATGCTTAATATTAAACTAAGCGACCCTGCACAGGCGCCTATAGAGCAATAAATGTGTGCTTCGTGTTGCGCGCCTTGTTGTAATTTTATTTAATAACTGTTTTGTTGTTGTTTATGAAACATTTGCCGACGGCTGTCGGTTCATTTCACACACCAACAACACCACAACGCACACTCTCACACGCACACGTTAAAGGCGGAAGTGAGCAGCGCGCGCGTGTGCTGCCGACAGAGGTTGAGGCGGAGGCAGCGGCAGAAGCAGAGGTATAGGCAGCGGGGCAACCATATAAAAGGGACAATTGGACAACTGGGCGCCGCCTGTGGTGTCAACGATGCCATTTGGTTTTGGTTCAGTTCGGTTTGGTTTGGTTTATTGTTCCACTTTTCATGTCAAAGTTATTGTAATTGTGTTAAGGCATTTCCTGTGTATATCCTACACACACACACACACACGCACACACACACACACTCGCACACTCTTGCTGAGCTATAAATAAAAATCGGAGCAGTGCCGCAGGGCGGCGCAGACACTTGTTTGACTTTGGCTCAGTCACCATGTTTGTTGGCGTCTCTCACGTTACGCTCTCTCTCTCTCTCTCTCTCTCTCTCTCTCTCTCTCTCTCTCTCTCGTCTCTCCTTTTCCTTATGCTGATGTGTCTATGTATTTTTTAACGCACATCATTATCATTCCGTTTGTGTTTTGAACGGGCGCACAGCAGCTGTAAGCAGGCGAAATCCAACTGCTGTTGACTGGGCGCAGCTTTCGCCAACTCACACCCCACTCAGCACACACACACACACACACACACAGACATACACATATACATATACAAAAAGAATGAGCAAATAAAGGAAAAGCTTATGGTTTTTGCTGTTGCTGCTGCCTTTTTGTTGCCTTCTCCCTCTCACCTCTTTGTTCTTTCTCTCTCTGGCTCACTCGTTGATTTTTGTTAGATTTTTTTGTGTGTGGGCTGCTCGAAGTGGTATATAAGCCACTGAGTGTGACTTGGTGTGCGTGTGTGTGTTTGTATATACACTCGGAGTACAAATAACAAAAGGATACAACAAACTCAGAACAGAAAGTTTTGACACTTTTATACTTGGCTTGCACCGACCCGAAACCAACCCAATAAACCGACCCATCCACATTTTGGAGGCGGGGCTGCAGTTGAGGTTGGAGGTTCAGTGGGTTGTTTAATGGAGCCTGGCGCGTTTGTGTTTTCAAAAGTCGAGCACATGAGCAAGTGTGTGTATGCGTGTGAGCGTCTCTGTGTGTGTGTGTATATGTGAATGGAAATGGGTCTATTTGGGCTAATATCATTGTAACTTATGATATTCATATGATATTATTGCTTCTAGGCAAACTCAATCGCAGACTTGTGGATTGGGTTGCTTTCAAATATTAAAGACTCTTTAGTTTAGTGTTTTTTTTTATGATTATAATTATAAGTGCTGCTCATGAGAGTTAAAATAAACAACAACATTATAAGTTATTTTAATTATTTTAGTTTTTTGTTGCTATTTTGGCTTTTAAATAGTAATTTTCTATTATGAATAAGATGTTTTCTAACTTAAGTTCAAGCTCAAATTCCTAATAAGATTAAGTTGATAACCTGATATCGATTATATCAGCATCGATAACAGGTCATCGGGCATATCAAAGCAGAGAAGTCTTTGTATAAGAGTCAATTCCTTAATTCAAGTAGTCTTTGACATAGTTTACTGATATATATTCACCACATACAACAGATAAAGCATAACTCAACTGTTCTTATACTCAATTATATTTAATTGCACACGCTAATTACAATGTTCTGCAAATACCCAAGCATTCAGGGCAATCACTGCTATGGCGGCTTTAACTATGAGAATTTTCTGCGGTAAGTCATAATTGGATAAAGGACTTTGTGGCAATGTATAATAGAGTTCGATTTTAGCAACGCCGAGCTGAAAAGGAGGGGCTGGGAGCCACCGACGCCCATTACCACTGGCACCACTGTGGTGGGTTTACATTTCAGTGGGGGCGTCATGATTGGCACGGATACGAGGGCAACACGCTTGAATATGATTAGCTCGAATACTTCCCTAAAGATTCGTCGGCTGCACAGCAATATTTAGTAAGTGTCCGCTTGATCAGAAAGCGAATGATCCACTCTGAACTAACACATTCTGCCTAGCTGTGGGGGCAGTGGCTATGCCAGCGATCTGGTCAATTTGACCCGCCTGCTGGAATTACAGATGGAAATGCATTATAAGAGCACCAATAAAAGAAGGGTGCCCGTCGTCTGTGCCAAGCAGCTGACCAAGGCACTGCTGATGCGCTACATGGGCCGCATGATGATTAGCTTTGTGCTGGGTGGCGTGGATAGAAGTGGTGTACACCTGTACAGTGTGCACTTCGATGGCACCACCGAGATGTGTCTGTACAACTCGATTGGCACCGGTCAGTATGGCGCTATGGGCATCCTGGAGGATCGCTGGAAGCTTGGCTTGAGCGAAGATGAAGCACGCGAACTGATTGTCGATGCGGTCAGTGCCGGGATTAACAATGATCTGATTTCTGGCTCTAGCGTAGATCTCGTTGTCATACGAAACGATTTCAGCGTGGAAAAATGCAATGAGATAATCCATACACCCTTAAGACCAGATCCTTTTCCAGTATTGACCCAAAAAATTGACTACAAAAAATTACTGAATGAAGTTCAGATTTTGGAGGAAAGTATAATGGAATTAAATCAAGTAGTTCCAAAACCAATTGGGAGGAAACGTGTCAAGAAACCCGTCAGACGAGATGAAGTGCGTACCACACTAGGATGCATACTAATGAATCGCAAGCGTAGCGCAGATTTCGATAAAGACGAGCCGCCCAAAAAGAAAAGAAAAACTTGGATTGACGCTTAGTTCACAGGCAACTAAAACGCTCGAACTTAACTGAATAAAAGTTGTTAAGCAGATGGAACATGTCTTTGCCTTCTAAGTTTAAACCGATGAGGTTTCCCTTATATATATGTCATTTCATAAATATCCAATATCCATCCATTAGCGCATGCTACCAATAAGCTAACTTTAAATGCAACTAACGGCACTGAGCATTTAGTTAACAGTGTTGGGCAAGTAGCGAAAAAGTAGCCCAGCTTCAGCTTATGCAGCAACTAGTTACGCATCGATAACGATAACAGGTTTGCTGCTTAGTCCAGTGTTGTGAAACACGCATTTCATTCAGTTCAAATTCTGTGCATTAACAGTCGCCCGTAGCTGGAATTTAGTTGAGTTTAATGACATTTATGTACTTTATTTTCATTTTTAGGGTTAACAAAATGGTTGTACATAAAAGACGTTTTTGTTTTTTGTTTTTGTGTTGGCTCGCATTGCACAGTTAACCATTAAATTACATAAGACATACATAATTTGACATTGCCTATTTGCCTCATCGTTTAGCGCATTATTCTCAGTTTCTCTTTCCTTAATTGATAATTAAACGTGTTTTTTCTAGTTTTTCTTTTTGCTTTTTGTTGAGAAGCTATTTCGAGTGAGTCAAAGTTTGGAAAATTTTCTTACAGTTATCATACTCTGTACAGGTAAAAGATTTTTACACATTTCTGTTGCTTGGGAGTTCGTCTACAAATCCATTACAATATTTCAATCATCATAGCTCTAACTGGTTTCACATACATATATGTATATATATATATATATATAGATTTATAGATTTATCTTTTTTTTCGTGTGCATTAACCGGACCCAGCACATTTGCGCTCTATATTTATGTTGTAGCTGATTTTGGTTTAAAATTGTTTTTGCTTAATTGATAAATATTTTTCTTGCTATTTATTCCATTTTGTTTTTCATATAATATATATTTTTGTATATCTTGAAGTTTTATTGTATAAGCAGCCTGTTAGATTTGCTCAACGACGGTTTTTAGACGCTAGAGTTGAAGTTTTGTTCTTCTTTTGATTTATACAAAGTTTTTCAAACAATTTACAAAAGAAAATGGAATCAAAATGCTCATCGATCAAACGTCTTACATACATGGTGTAAAAATACAAATTAATCATATTGATTAGTCATTTGTTTACATACACATCTTCTGTTTCTATATGTATATAAATATATCAATCATTTTCTATAGTTTTTTATTTCTTTTTTTTTTTTTGCTGTTGCGCTACTTAAGATTATTGTACAAGCAAATCAAAACCATTTGAGGTCTAGTGTAAAACGAAACATTTTCAACATTTCCAAACAAAAAGAAAAGAAACAAATCACAACGAACAATTCTTAAAACAAAACATGGAACCAAATCGGAGATGTTCGGCACCATTTGACCACCGAAACATTCTCTCCCTCTCTGCCAGTTGCTCTGCTTTAGCTCCTCCTGCTGCTGCTGCTTTGCTCTACTGATACTCATCGTCGCTGCTGAGCAGCATGGTTTTCTCGTTGTAGTTCTGACTAATGGTAGCCACACGCTGTCCGCCCGGAATGAATTTGCGCTGATTGCCCAGTGTCTTGGATGCCACACAGCTGTTGTTGCCGCCTCCAGTTGCAACCGCATTGTATCCACCGCTGCTCGTTGTGGTGCCTCCCATGGTGGCAGCTTGGCTGGCACTATTTGGATCCTCCGGATCGTAGCTGGAGACGCGAATACCACGCGAATTCTTGCCACCTGCACGAAGGTTTTATTTACTTAAAGGTTTCATAGTTGGTGTTGGTAGTTAACAAGAGATTCGAAATTCATGCAAAATGCAGGCTTTCTATATATATATATATATACGAACATTGCAAGCAAAGGAAAGGCGACGTAGTTAAGCTTATTGTACATTTATTTAATACAGTTAATTTAAAGATAGTTTATACAATTCGTTTGAACATTTACAAAAGGTTTTATAAAAAAAATTAGAAACATAAGAAGCACGAGCTTTCGATTTGAGGCTATCACAAAAGAAAATCAAAAAGCAAATGTTTTTCTGGTTTTGTTTTTTTTTTTTTTGTTGTTTTTTTTGGTATCTTTGAGCTAAAATTGATATTGTAAACGAAAGATTTTTATATATTCGTTAATTTTAACATTTAAATGCATAATAAGCTAAGAACATGAAGTGTCAGAATCTCAAAATTTGAATATGAATATTCCACCAAAATTTGTCAAGCTAAAAATTGTAAAACTATATTGAGTCTGAAAAAGGGTTGTCAATCTTTCTAGGGTCTATGCTCCACTGTTGATGTATTGCCATTTATACACATAATTACATACGTATAATAATAAAATCTTTGTTTACACATACATATATAATATTATACAATATTATCAATTTATATATAGTGTATGTAGAATAAAACGCTAACATTTAAATAAGTTGATAAAAGGCTTAAATCGTAAACGTAAACATAATATATAAAAAAAATACACACAAATCAGCAGAAGAGGGAACGTTAAACAAGGTAATGTGAAGTGTTTCAGAGTACATCATTCAGTTACATAAAGTACTAAGGCAGCTCTAAGCAATTTTGTGGTAATCGGGTTTTTCGAGTGCGCGCTTTCAGTAAGTAACTAGGCCTAATAAGTATTTAGTTCATAATCTTTTTTTAAATTATTCTTAAGCGGCAACAAAAGGCAACTGTGGTGTCAATTGTTAGGTTTAAGTACACTTGATTTGTCTTTAAACTGCTTGTTTTTGTTTGTCTTTTTTTTCTTTATAATTATTTTTGTATTGTTATTATTTCCCTCCTTTTGTTTTGGAATTATAGTTAGAGTGTTTAGTAGCGGGCATCGCTAGAGTTTTGAATTTGTTTTTATTTTAAATTTGTTTTAAACATTTTTAGAGCTTTTCGTAACGCTGAGTTGAGGTTACTTCTGCAAAAGATAAGAAACAGAAAGAAAAACAAAAGTGTAAAACATAATGATAATGTGTAATGCGAATGGAAAGCAAAGTAAAAATGATAAGATAGAACAATCAATAGCTACAGCGAGCAGGCAACAAACATTCAAAGAGAGACGAAAAATATGGAAAGTAGAAAGAAGGAAGAGAAAGTATTTACCTGAACTATACTGTGTGTATTGTTGATATTGCGGATGGAAATTGTGTATAGCATCTGTCATAATATCCTTGGGATTCATGGTTTCCTGGGAAAAACATGAGAAAGTAAAAGATTTGCTGAGAAAAGTGGATTAAGAGACTTACCTTGAGACTGCTGGAAATAGATTGCATAGTGACAGAGCGTCCGTGGCCATCGCCAATGCAGCTGCGTGCATAGACCTAAAATTGACAGATAAGAATTTGTAAATAAACACTAATGTTTTATACCTAACAGACGTCACACATTCTATAAAAACCATTTGCCCGCCCACATTAATACTATCGCATATCTAATTATAAATTGAACCCCTAGTCGAGAATCTATACCACAAATAGGGAATATACCATATGAATCACATGCCAGGCATGACTGTAGCTGATAGTCAAATCGTTAAAGCATTTGGCTTTGATTGCGAAACTTTTGTAGTCTGTCATTAAAGCGCGCACATTTTTCTGATAAGTCAGAGCGAGCTCCAACTTATCTTATCGGATAGTATACCTGTCAAATCTTACTCACCTGATAGGGAAAAGCATATCGCAGCGCAATGGCAGCAAACAGCATTTCAATGCATATGAAAAAGTTTTGATAGCCAGCGGAAACCGTACCAGCCGAGGTGACAGTGCCAGCACTGTCCACAATGGGCGATATGACCTGCGCCTTCTCAAGTATGGCCAGACCCACGCCCTGCCAAAATGACAAGAAGATGACTGACTTGATGGTGCAGAATTTCAAGACGGGCTCAAATGGTGTCAACAAATCGCGTGTGGCAAAGTAAAACAGATATAGACCATACAAGGCCAGCGAAACGGAAATGTTATAGATGATGGTTATGTAAATGTAGCCGCCATCAGCACTGTAAAAGAACAAACAATAGATTAGGCAAACATTACAGATTGATTACTAACTATGTTGCCACACAACAAACCTCCAATCACCATCATGATAATGTCCAAAGGCCTGCAGAAAGATGATTATAAATGCCACCAGTGGCTTAACCAAGCAGAACTGCAACGTGGCCTGCTTGCAGAAGCGCAAAAAGCCAATGGTGTATGTCTTGCCCTTCAAACAGCATGTGCCATACAAGCAGGAGGTCTTTATGGGCTTGCCACGTATCTCGGACATGATGTTACCCTCACCGCCTAGATACTCATAGCATAGAGACAGAAAGTTGTAAATCACGAAGGCTGTAAAAGCATATTTAGACAGAGATTAGAACGGAACTAAGAAAGAGACTAAGAAGAGATTAGGGAAATACCGCACCTTCATAACAATCGCGCACCGTAAAGAAGTAAATGTAAACGTTGTCGGAGTTGAAGAATAGCAGACTTATCCATGAGTAGGTGGCGTAGATGGGCACAATGAACAGTATGCGAACTATCCAGCGCTGCTCCTGTGGATTGGTGTACCAACGTAAATGCTGATAGATCTGTAAGCGATATATGTGATTAGTTAAGTGTACATCTATTCAATTTCCTGATTTGAGTGCCGACTCACCTGTTGACATGTGACAAACAACGCAGCCCAAACAAATACGCCCGCCAGCACCTGAGCTGTTTTAGTTTGCAGGAATATGCCATCGCCCACATGAAGCAGGGGATCCAATGGCTCCGATGCTACGCCCATTTTAACAACGTAGTTCGTATTCGGTTTCAGGGTCGTCGATGCAGCAGCACTTTCGTTACCTGTCGCAGCAGCAGCAACAGCAGCGACGCTGCTCACAGTTATAGCCGCCTCAATGAGACTGGCCGGTGTTGTGCTCATTCTGCAGCAATAAAATAACAAATATAAGGAGTAAAAGAGGGAAAAGCAAACGCTATGATTAGATACACAAACGTGTTTACTATTTGACAGTCTACACAAAAGTTTTTCAGCTACAATTGTAAAATTATGAGAGACAGCTTGCAATATGCTCAGTAAATGGGGTCAACGGCAAAATGTGGAGCAGTGTAGAGAGAAGCACGCATTAGATCATCATTATCACCAACAACAACAACATGAACATCATCATAGACATGGCGACTGGCACGCAACTTTATTAAATGGGCTCGCAATAAATTTACGTGGGCCGTTAGCTAGCGTGAAAAAGTTTCCTCTCAGGGTCAGCTCTAGCTTAGCTCTATATATCGATTCTATACTCGAGTTTTATGTACAACTATGCAACGTAAGTAAATACAACTGTGTATCAATCAATAATCAAGTGTGAAACAAGCTGCATACACGCGAAGCTGCTCAATGGCGACGCAAATTGACGCAATTATATATGCATTAATATGCAGGTAAATGACAGGCGCACAATTATATGCGGTTCATTCAACTAAAATTATTTGGAAATGATGCAAATTCATATTTTAATTAAAACCTAAATCCTAACATCGAATTGCAAGATAGTTCACTGCAAATCTCTACGAAATCAGTGATTGAATATTTTAAGTTTTGCCCTACAAAATACCGAGAGTTGTTGATATTTTGAATACAATAACGACTACTACATTAAAAACCACAATATTATTATTATTATACTCTTGTTTATTAAACAACAAAGAGAAAAGAGCGCTAATACAAAAATAACACAAAGATGACTCAGACTTATGCAAAAGTTTAACTTTAACTGAACCTCAAGTAAAGTAAAGCGTAATATTTTCTCCACAACAAGTTCATAAATTCCGTGAACACTGAAACCCAAAAAGTGTGAACTCAAACAAATCTACGATAGGCTCTTGAGAAAAATACATGTAAATATCTAGCAAAAAGAGAAATGTCAGATAGAAGCGAAGAAAAATAAAAGCAACAACAAGTTGCCGTCTGCTAAAGATACAGAGATATATTGGCACAAAGCAAGGTCTCCACAAGTCTCCACTCTGCAAATTGAAGTAGCAGCGCGGAAGCGTTTTTGACAGATACGAAGAAAATACAATATGTATGTGTGTGCATATATATGCGTGGTGTATGTAGATTTTGTAGGAGTATAGGCCGAAATCAAAACCAGCAACAATTTCAGTCATCGCTAATTACATTTTGGGGTTTGCTTTGTGTGGCTTCTGGTTGAACAGTCAAATTGATTTTCGTGCATGTGTCCAAAATATAAGCCATACACTGTAAATAAATACGAGGCTTAAATGCCAACATATGCGACCTTTCTGTTGTAGAAGATACCTGTCACTGAGCTGCTTATCAAACCACACACACAGGCACACTTCCAAAGCTACAAATATAGCTCACTCACACTTGCTTATCAAATGCGAAAAATAAAAACACACACACTTGCACAGACAGATATATATACTCATCAAATTTCGTCATCAAAAATGGGTATTTTACTTGCAACTTGTCCATTTCAGGGAAATCAACTTTACACACACACAAATTGCAACACGAACATTATGAATGCAACTTAATTACCTCTTTTAAGTGTAACTTTTCTCGATTTGCTTTTGCTTTCAATTTTCACAGCTCGAAATTCCGTTTAATTTTGCTCCAACAATAACCACTTCAATTTTTTTCTTCGTCGCTGCGACGCGAACTGACGTTCGTGCTCGTCTGCTGTTTAAAAAAGAGGTAACGTAAACACGGTCACAACGACATTACAACACACAGGAGTAATTCTCTGTATATAAAATAATTACGTGCTAATTTTTATATCTAATTCCCACGAAATTTCAGCAATTTTTATACATTCACAAGCGTGCGGAACAGGATTGTTGATAACTTATCGATATTGGCGATGTTTACTTTGTTCTGATATTAATATATCAGCGATGCATTTCCAGGGATGGTGATAATAAATATCGATACTTTATTTCGTGTCAAGTATATGTTACGATTAATAGTGATGAGCGATATATTATTTAATATAAGTGCAGCTGTTCAAATGAGATCAACAGTGCTGAGAAGCAGCTGTGCAATCGATTATCTTTTCGATATAAAAAAGTTCAGGCATGGAAAATCAAAAGTGCCATTTATTTACTTATCTGCGTCGAACTTTGAACTGCTGCTGGAGATTGTTGCATATGCTTAAATAATGTAAACACATCGTGGTTACCAAGCGCCATGGACTTTCGTAACGCCCGAGCACGGCAACCTGAAATAGTGCGTTCGGTACAAAAGGATGCTCGTTACACCAATGAGCTGTCCGAGGATTTATCAGATATTTTACGATTAAGTGGTCCTCGCAACTGGATAAAATATAATCAACTGTGTCAATTGATAGCGAAGTTGAGTTATCATGGCTTTGCTTCTTTAAACAATCTGCAAACACTGGGCGAGGAATACACGGGAATAATACAGGTCGATGGAGACTATAAACATATACCAAGTCGATTGGTAGGCAGATGAATATTATTTTTAATTTAATTACAACTGAGTTTTAATAAATAACTTACTTTTAGCTGCAATTGGTTGCTATCATACTGGAATTTGGTGGTGATGCTTTGTTTCTACGTGTGTTGCAAAAGCTGGAGCTGCATATAGCTGCGCATGATGAAATCGTACCTGATGCTAAGAAGAAGCTGCAGAGGCTCATTCAGTATATGCGACAGTCGCCTAGTTACATCAAAGCGCTGCACAAGTCGCTTTTCTACTTGGACGCCCGAAAGTATCAACTATCCAAGCGTACCACAGGCATCAATTATGTGCTCATCCGGCACTGGCTGCAACCAGAGTTCTCACTGTATGGCTACAAGATTTTGGGCATTATTACATTCCTACAAGTCAGCGTCTCCCTGGCCATTGGCGGCTGGGAGGCATGGAAGGAGCACAAGCGTCAGCAGTTGGAGGCACTCAAGCAGGCGGCTAAGGTATTCATGCAACGGGAGAAGCAGTCGATACCACTGGCAGCAGATGTGCCGCAGTGCATACTCTGCCTGGAGCCAAGGCAGAATAGTAGCCTAACACCTTGTGGTCACCTCTTCTGCTGGAACTGTATACTCGACTGGCTGGAAGAGCGCGATGAGTGTCCGCTGTGCCGAGAGTCAGTAAAAAAGTCGCAGGTGATCCAGCTGCAGAATTATGCTTAAGAATGATTTTTTATATGTTTCTTTTGTATATTAATTTATTGAAGAACTGATGTACATGTTCCATAATAATAATTTGATATATTTAACAGCTTTGGTGGCACTTGGCAACTTGACGGTGTATACCCTCATTGACCCTGTTCTCTAAGTCTAACTTAACATTAACTATTTACAAATGTATTCGATTTTAGTGCCTGAACCTTGGCTTTAAATAATATCTAAATAAACGGTACGATTGAAGATTTGCTTACGCCGACGCGACTCGAAAGCCGAACGTGCCTCTGCTGGCGATTCAAAAGCTACGCGCGCATCCCCCGTAGGCTTACCCTCGTCATTGAAACGCCGTATTATATCATCCGGACTCAGTTTGTAGTCATTAAAGAAGCGCAAAATATCCTTAAGATCCGCCTTAAAGGGCACATTGCGCATGGCTACGACGCAGCCCGCCCGATTGAACTTATCTGGTATGCCATTCTCTTCCGGATCGCTGCTGCCGTTGTTGGCAGTGATGGTGGGTGCAGGCATGACCGGACTAACAGGTCCTTCGTCGCTACTCATTTCTGGACCGACGCGCACGGCAAATGGATTAAAGTGTTGCTTCACATTGTTGCTGTCATCAGCATCCAGCGGCAACTGTTGCTGTTGGCAATTGCTGACATCATCAAAGCGACTTGGGCCACGACGCCTTGATTGCTGCTGTTGTTGCTGCTGCTGTTGTTGTTGTTGCATGGGCGGGGACAAGGGAGCAACTGGATCTAGCTGCCTCGGTCCATTGCCGCCTGGCAAATAATCCATAAACGGTTTATTCATGCGATCCGCAATCTCTTGCGGCGTAATGGGCGTCAGCCGCAACCCACGTCCACGAAAGCGACGATTATGAAACTCCCTGATAGCTATTTTGGCATTAAGCGAGTCGGCAAACTCGACTATAAACTCGCCAGCACTCTGATTGCGATCATTGAACAGCATCTCAATGTGCTCGATTCGCAGATTCTCCGATACGAACAGCTCACCCAAATCATTGATTCTCGTGGCATATTCACAGTTGTGAACACGCACAAAGACGTCCTCCGGCCGACGTTGTTGTTGCTGCTGCTGCTGCTGTTGGTGATGTTGTGGCTGCTGCATTGGATGATTGTTGTTGAAATTGTTGTTCAGCATGCCAAAGGGTCCCATGTTGTTGTTATTGTTGTTCATCATATGCATGCCATTGCTATGATTGTTCATACCGTTATTTTGCTGCTGAAAGGCAAAAGGTGGCATATTACCGTTATGCATAGCAGTGTTGGCAAACGGCTGCAAATTATTGTGATGATTGCTGTTGTTGTTGTGTGTATTTTGTTGTTGTTCGTGATTGCGTCGACGCGGATCGTTATTAAATTTGGCCATGGCCATTAAAAGTTCCTGTGAAGGCAGCTGCTGCTGCTGCTGCAGCTGTTGTTGCTGTTGCAGGTGTTGCTGCTGTTGTTGTTGCTGTTGCTGTTGTAGTAGCTGTTGTTGTTGTTGTTGTTGTTTGCTCACCTGTTCACGCTCAGCGTCCTCACGCTGCTGCTGTTCCTCCTTTTGCAACTGCTCGCTGGCACGTCGCATCTTCTCTCTAGCATTCTGCATCTCTGCCTGACTGCTAGCACGCACGCGCAACTTACGGAACCCAATATAATGCCTGGAGGCATCCTCGAGCGCTGAGCGTGCTTCATTCTCTCTGGCAAACAGTACAAAGGCCACAAATTCACGGCGATTGTTGGGACTGGGCGCCAGAAGGATGTCCACAATGGTGCAGGTGGCAGAGAACATTTTCATAATGTCCTGCTCGGTGGTTAGCTGTGGCAAGTCCTCAACGTACAGAACACTGATTGGAGGCAATGCAGCAGGCGCAACTGTTGCACGTTCAGCCGGGCTGTTGCTGCTGTGACTATTGCTGTTGCCACGCTGGGAGCGCTCATCGGCCTGCTCGAATTCCTCATCAGAAATGGGCACGATCTGCACCAGACGATCACGGAATAGCGTATTGTTACGTAGCAGCGCCTTCTGAGCGCTGGACACGCGCGAGAACTCAATATAGGCCACGCCAGTGCGTGTGCCATTCGGGCCGCTAACAATCTTGATGCCATTGTGTGGTATATAGAGGCCGGCAAAGTATTTGCGTAGATCACTGTACGAGGTGCTGGGACACATGCCACTAATCTTGATGTAGCACGTCTCGGCGATCAATATGGGCGCAGACAAGCCAGCAACACCCGCACCAGCGCCAGCACCGCCGGCAGCAGCAGTACCGGCCGGGCCTGGCGAGTTGCCCATGCCAGCAGCAGTCTTTGCTGCCTGCTGTTGCAGCAACAGCTGCTGCTGCTGCTGGAATAGCTGCGGATACATTTGAGCATACGGATTAACGTTGGCAAAGGCTATGGGCTCCTGGGGCGACTGCTGCAGCTGCTGCTTGGGCAGCTGTTGATGTTGCTGTGGCAACGGCTGCTGCTGCGGTTGTTGCTGCGTGCCAGCAGTTAGATTGAGATTGTAGTTATTGGTGGTCACATTGCTGGTGGTATTATAGCTCTGCAGCACAGGCGGCAGCACGTTCATCATGCCTAGCTGCTGCTGCAGACCGGGCATAGCATTTAGCCCAGGCGGCACAGCTGCAGCAGCAACAGTTGCAATGGTTGCCGCTGCACCTGCTGCTGTCGGTGGCACGGTGGCGCCCAATGCCCAGGGCATTAGATTGGATACGGCGCCAATGGGCACCGTTTTGGGTTTTGGCAATATTTTGAGCTCACGCTCACTGCTATCGCTGCGTAGCTCGGGGCGACGCTTGCGCCCACGATCGCGAGACGCACGATCGTGGCTGCGATCGCTGTCATCGGAGCTACTGGAATGACTGCGGCTGCGCCTAAAGAGTGCCAGATCGACTGTTGCTGGCTTGTCGACGGCGACCTTGAGGCCGCCGACGTCGGCCAGTGATATGCCTGCCTGCTGTTGATATGCCAAAAATGAGGGCGTGGCCGATGCTGCTGCAGCCACCGAAGCAAGTTGCTGCTTCACCTGTTGTCCCTGCGGCTGCTGGCCAAGCAGAAAACTGTTCAGGCCACCAATAATTGGCGGCTGAGGCACAGGCGGCATTGTTGTTGCTGCTGCTGCTGCTGCTGCTACTGACGCCGCCACTAGCTTGGGCGTGGGCGTCGGCGTAGGCGTGGCAACGGCAGCCGGACTCACATTGCGAGCCGTTTCGATGACCTTTTGCATTTCGGCACGCGAGGAGAGCAGCAAACGCACTTGAATCTCCATCAGCTTCTCACGATCCTTGAGCATAGCGCAGCGAGCATCCTCGTCGGTGCTGTTGAATGTTCGAGAGAGAGAGAAAGAAAGAGAGAAGGGCAAAGGCTTAAAGTTAAAGGATAACAGTTGTCAAATGCGTAACAAACAGAACTATTTGAGAGACTTGGCTATAACCTAGGCCTTAACCTCTGCCTCTAGCCAGCGAGATACCAACTCTGCTTACTACATATAATTACATTAAGAGAGTGAGTGAGAGAGAGATAGTAACACAGTGTTTGTTCTAACTACCTGAAAGCGATGAATGCGTCGCCCATTTCGCCACCGATTATGTGAACACCGCCCTCCGGTATCGAGAGGCCCGTGAAGAAATTTCGTATATCTCGAGCATTTGCCGTCCACGGCAGATTTTGCAAACGAATAATGACACTCATCTTGATTCAAGACTCTTTTTCTATTTATTTGTTATAGGTTTTCAGATTTTTAGTTTTGGTTTTGGTTTTGTTTATTTGTTTCGTTGTTCAGTTCAAAAAGCTTTTGCGCCAGCCTCTCTGAGTGGTTGAATCCCTCATTCGCATCAGGTCCAGGTACTGCTTGCCGAGACCCAGCCACCTTTTCAAGCATCTGAAATGAGAATCATAGGCTTATGGAGAATACGCTAACAATTTATATATACTAAATAGGTGAGATTGTAGTTAATAATATTTATTTATTTATTATTTATTCAAGCGACCCTGAGTGTATATATATTAATATATATATATATATATTATAGACATTGTGTGAAATCTATATTAACATATTCCTGCAGCAGATACAACCTCAAGGTTGCAAGCAAAGACCATGTGGAAGCTAATTGAATCGTACCAATATTTAAATATGAACGTATGGATCTGTAACCAGTATGGTATCTATAGTTAATCATATACAATCAATATCTATATATCAGAATCAGGATAAATTCACTTGAGATCAACGATCGAATACAGGGTTTATCTCTAAAAATAAATTCTTCAGCTTTCGTTTTATTATATTTCTTGAATATATCTAAGAAATATTCTATATTAGTCCTACAATTACAATATTAATTGTATAAACACATAAGAGATCTGCTATAGATCTGCCACGCTCCAGTTATAAAGGTTCCATATTATTAAACTTAGCAACAGAGCTAAAAATTTATTTACCTTTACATTATTTGTTGAGCTTATATAGTTAACAGAATGCATTTTTTTAATGAAACTGCAAAAATCTCGATGCTTTCTTAGCCATAATTACTAAACGATTTTAGACCACAAAACTTACCAAAATTTTGAAGGCTAAGCAAAAAAATTTAAAAAAAAAATCGTTTACTGTGTGCATTGCTAACACATTTATATATGCAGATAAAAATTTGGAATTTGTTAGCCAATTGTTAGATAAACATATCTAGTTTATACAGCTATATTTAGAGCTAGAATTTAGCTGTTTTTGGAAAGCGTATTTTAACTACGTTATAAGCTTTTTCATGTTATGTTTTGTTGACATTGCAGCAGCTTTGACCTTCGAGCAATAGGCACTGAATATATTTATTTATATATAATATATAAATATATATATAAATATATTAATATAACTTAGGCATAAAAGCATCAGCTATGAAGCAATAGGCACATTAAAGTTGTTAGCAAATATAGAATTCAAAGAGCAAATCCAAAGACTTTTTTATTCATTTCCGGATATAGAGCTTACCTATATATTACCTATATATTTTAGCTATTCAAAGTTTTTTAATCTCTTTTGGCATTTATATATAGCGCTTGGAGTATTGCCCGCAATTATGATGGCAGCTCCATAAGCCATAAGCTATATCAATAATTTATCTTGAATTATCTGAAACGTGTTGACATTTCAACACGAGCCAGATTCTCACAAGCTGCAACTGTGCAACGAAATGTGGCAATTCGGGCGACTGTCTGTCGCTGGCATTGCATAAGAGCGACCAGTTTGCGCCGCTAATGCCACTAATGAAGCGATAGAGTGCGTTTCGAATGACAATTAGAAAGATTTGCACATTGCGCGTCTGTCACTTACCCACACACAGCTGCGACCTTCCAGCCGCGAGTGAAGGTCGCCGCACGCAAGGAGATGCCACTGAAACTATGCTACTGGCATAGAGCAGACCCTAATGCTAATTGATTGTGTTTCACGTTTCAATTTCCTCATTAGATGCACTCAATTACCTGTTGAATGTAAAACTGACTATACCAAAAATAAAAACCAGTTGATCAGATTGAACGTAAATGGGAAAGCGATTATGCAGCTATAATTTAATACGCGTTGCAAGTGCCGCCGCTGCGGCCGTCGCTTGTGGCACTGACATGTGCAACTAAGTAGACAAAAACCAACAACCGACCACAACAACAACAACAACAACCGACATAAAACAAAAATAAGCAGGAGTAGGAGCTGGTGGCCTGTTTCATTTGTGTCCACATTCGTTTGTTTGCTTTTCTTTTCTTTTTTTTGATTTGTTTTTGTTTTTCTTTTTGTTGTAGCTGATTAACGCGAAAAGTTTAACAGGAAACTTAACTCCAACTCCTTCCGCTTGGCTATATAAAAAGGCATTGTTGCGCCATCTGGGCCGCAGTTACACCAAACATTTGATCGCGTTGTTGTCGTCGTCATCGTCGTCGTCGTCGTCTTCGTTGTTGTTGTCGATCGTCGATCGAGTGTTGAGCATTCAAAAGAAATGAAATTCGCAATTGTGAGTGATATAAACATTAATAATAAAATCAAATCTACTAAAAATATATAATATAGACAGAGCTACACAGCTGATCGCAGCAGCGAACGATCTTTGGGATTACAGCAAACATATTACGCCACTTCTTAAGCTAACTTACTGATCATAAATGAGATCTCATTAGAGAGGCAACAGCAGCTTAACATTAGCTCAAATACTTTAGATCTTTAGCGATTTTATTTTCATCTTGTCAATTTCCAGTGAGCAACCGACATAATTTATTAGTCGTTATCAAAACAGTTAAGATCTACAATTGTCAGATATATATATTTTCGATCTTAATGATTTTCATAAAATTTCTTTAGCTTATTATCTAACAGCAAATAATTAAATATGAATTTTTGGTTCAGATTATGCAAATATCTAATTGAATCTTTAGATCTTTGGGATTTTATTTTTGTGTGGTTCCAACTAGATTAAAATATAATTTTATCCATTTCTAGACAGCTGAAATTTAGACTTAAAAATCTGAACGATATTTATTTATTATGATCATAAGAGCTTGGAGGTCCAACTGTAGCTTTATAAAACTGATATATTCTCTTCCGATCTTAGCGATTTTATTAGCAACATATCTAACGGTATTCATATTGCAGTTCCCATTGATAAAAGTTTAAACAGATTCAGTTTTAGCTGTCATTTATTTTTACTGTTAAGATGCAGTTTGTGTCCAGCATCTAACTAATAAATCCTTTGTAGAATTGCTGAAGCTAATGATGTATTAAAAATTAATGGAATCACTTAAACTAAAAAATTAATGTCACCAGCATCTAGCTTAGATTCTAAAGGTAATTCCAAGCCAAGGACAAAATTAAGTCTCATTAAGTTAGAAGTCTTAGTTCTTAAGGTTCGTTTACAAGCATCTATGAATATGTATATATCGCTGTATATGGAGAATACATTTGAGCTGAATACATACATTATATTTCCACATATCAAGCTTAACAGATCACTGGCAATCGCTCAATGGCCTTACTAACCATAAAAGCGATTCAAGTCAAAATGAATTAAAATAAAATAATGAAAGCTTGAACTGAATCTTATATTCTAGACAATGTCGGCACTGGGTCTGCTATTGCTTGTCGGCGCCCAGGGCACCACCATAATCAGCATTAAGTATCCGCCACAGAGCGCCGACGCTAAATCGCTAGATCGCACACAGCCGACGAAACGAGATCTAAGTCTAAGCTATGCAGCCACCAATATTGACTCAAAGGAGGGCACGCGTGTCAAGACGATCACAGTAATCAAGAATGTGGGCGGCATTGGAGAGTCCAGTGCGGCGAGCAATAGGCAAGTGAAGCTGGCGATCAATCCCGAGCTGCATAAAAACGAGGAGTGGGCGACTGCTTTTCGTGATAACTTTGAATCGTATGGTGGATTGCCTGAAGTGCCAGACATAGATGATCTATTTGATTTCGTGAATAAGAAAAAGGTCCCAGCACCAACCGAGAAAGAAATAAAGAAAGAGCCGAAGCCTACAGAGAGCACCACAAAGGCGCCGCCGCCCCCGCCGCCTCCACCACCACAACCAACAAAAGCAACCAGCGAACATGCCGAAGATGCGGATGACAGTGATGAGGCGACCGTGGAGAAAATCAAGGGCGATGCCGAGCTGCTGCCACATATCAAACAGGCGAATATATTGCGACTGCAAGCGTTGGCTCTGAGGAAGCAGCAACAGCTGCACCAGCAGCAGCAGCAGCAGCAACCAGAACAGGATCAACAAGCAGATAAGCGATTGCGCACACGCGAATCTCTGATCAATGTTAACTACTCGACGCCCATGCATTCAGTTAGCCAGTTTTTTGAGAATTATGTGCAGGTGCTACCCAATGGCTATGATTACACCAAGCCGCAGCAGCCACAGCAGCCTTGCGCTCTGCCATCACCTCCAAATAGCATACAGGTGACAACGCCATCGGGACGCAGCTACAATATACCGCAGAGCAATAGCAGTGGCATCAACGGCGGCGCAAATCATCCCTACCTGGCGCCATCTCTTGGCAAGAGAACGCAGATACAGCCAGCAGCACCTGCTCAACCTCAACCACAAGCGCAGCCGCAGCCCCAGCAGCCGCCAAATTTCTCCACGGTTAATTCGATTTTGCCGCCTATTGTGCAGACGCCGCAGGGTAATAACTTTCCAGCAAATGTGCCACAGCAGCAGCAGCCACTGGCACCACCTCAAGGCGCGGGTACAGTAGGATCTTCCACTAGCCAGCGGCCCTATGTCGCACCCAGTCTACGCAACAATGGCCTGGGCATAAATCGAGGCCCGTCCACGCCGCAACCGCCCGCATTGCCAGCCTATGCTACAGGCAATGTGAATGGTGCACCCAGCTATCGTACCAATTCATTTGGCGCCAATCATCCGAATATCTTTCGATCGCGTGGCTTAAAATATTAAAATACTGTGTAATCTTACAACTAATAGATTCTTAAGACTTCTGATGTGTTGATGCATATATGTATGAAAGCGTATTCCTAAATATATCACACAAACTCACATAAACACACATACATACACAAACATACGTAACACACATGTCCCAAGGTACAGGCTGGATAAATCAATAGCGCCGCAAAATTGCAATCGATACGTGACGCGATGGTAAGCACTTTGTATAGCTGGACCAAGCTGTTAATTAATTACATGTCCAAAAGAGAACAGTTTCTAGTAGTTGGTGTTATTCGTTGCTGGCGCTGATTTCTACTAATGTATTTGTCGTCGCACTATGAAGTACGCACATTTTTGCATATGTATGCGTGCATGTTTGTACTTTTATCAATGAACTTTTACTCACCAATGGCAAACCATAAAAACGCAACGAAAACTTATTGAGGACCAATGCACAAAGACAGAAGAGCTCGGGTTTTTTGTTTAGCTCAAACGCTATATTTATTTTGACAATTTCTATTGTTTATCAATATGAAAATGTGAATTTTCTCTCAGCAACACAGCCTAGTTGACTTCAATTGTAGTAGTAACAAAAATAAAATGGCGACCGTGAGGCATTAATCGATATTACACAATATCGATACATGCTTATGTCAAACATAGTACACTAATCACGAAAACTATATGATTGCGAAATACGCTTCTAAGCTTTGTGCTTGTGGTGCAATATAAGAAGCATTTGACGTGAGTTTAATTTAGTAGAAAATTGTTCAATACCATATTCAAATAAAAATTTAAAAATAATCTTACTGTTGCAATCTTTTTAATTGTTATCACAATTAATATTTGAGCTTTCAGGTAGCTGAGTTGCCATTCACATGTTTTGCGATTACGTTATGGTATTTTTACGTTCCGCACTTGCAGTCACACTGTTTTTCATAGGTCAGCACGGATGCTGATTTTTCCAAACGAGGACTTTTTGGTTTTTATATCAAAATTGGTTGCTTTCACAACACAAAAAATATTCCCCAACAATTTGGAATCACTTTAAGTCTGTGCTTGCACATTCGACAACTGAAATTTGAGCCACAAGAACGGCATTTTACGCAGCGCAAAACCGCAGTCGTCACACCTTTGGACATCAATCACACCAATACCTTCAGACATTATTAGAAGAGGACGGCAAATAAGCGAAAATAAAGCAAAGGCAAAAGGTCTTTTTGAGAAGCAAACATAAAGAAGGCACAAGTACTGAATCTAGTACTTTTTAAACGCTTCGATTTTCGATTTAAACCGAAAACCACTCGAATAACCTTTTGGAAATATTACGCAAGTATTATTTCTGGGTATAATTGTTAATAATCATGGCTCAGTAAAGATGAATCCTCAACGAAAAATTGTCGCGCAACGCACTCCTTGTGGAGACGAACGTCAACGCGAGACGCAGTTTGCTGTCGATTGGCAGCAACAAACAGCCAACGCACAATCTTCCGCTTTCTTCTATCCTTCCCTCAACAAGCACTGCGGCCTTAACGCAGCCAACAATAACAAATACAATGGAAAACAACAACAAGAAGCAACCGCCACAACAACGTGCAAATAAATCATCTGGAGAAGCACAACGCAAATCTAGTGGTGAGCAATGCAAATTTTACATACGATTGTTTTTTGGATTAGTGATGGGTTTTTAAGAATAGTTGATCTTATATTTATTCTAATTTATCAGTCCGTCCGTTGGTCTTTCTGAGACTTTTATAGTTACACCCTTCAAATTGAATTCATATTAGGTTATCTTTAAATCTATCGGGGGGAAAATCGAATTGTGCAAAATACAATTGTTCTTTTCTGATTATATTTCTTTGACCAAGCCATAGTAAAAATAGTTGGAACTTATGACATATTATACAGCTAAGTTATCTCTTGAGTTCTAATTTACCCCTCTATCTCCCTGTCGTGCAGACTTGTATGTCAACAAAACTCGCAATTCTCGACGTCGCGAACAGATTCCTACACCACGCAACGAGCAGCAACAACGCAGCACTAAGCAACAGCAGCCGGGAAAACTACGCGCCAATGTGGACAAGCGTCCACGTGCCCGCGGCGGCGGGGGCGGTGGTGTTGGAAACAATAACAACAATTTCGACTTCAGTCAGGGGTCTGGCAATGGGGATGGCATTGCATGCACCGGTCCGGATAACGCTTATGGCGGCTCCGGATTAGCACCTGCGGGCGCCGGCTACATGCGTAGTGATCTTGACTATGAGTTAAATTCTGTGTATGCGCACGGCAGCAAGAAGCAGAACCTGAACCATCTGCTGAATTTTCATTGCGTGCCGCGTGAGTCGTCCAACACATCCGACTGGCACGCCAGTGGACATGGCATGGTGTCGACACGTCGACAGCCACGTTACAACAAGGAGCAGTTTTTGCAGGCAAACTTTCAGTTTGTTATACGCAGCAGCGCCAAAGCGCAGGTTAATGGTTCGCCGGACACGTTGATCGATTGGAATCTTATCGAACAGATCAATATACATACCACCGAGGAACCGCAGTGTCCCATTTGCCTCTATCCACCGGTGGCTGCCAAGCTAACTCGTTGTGGCCACGCCTACTGCTGGCCCTGTCTGCTCCACTATCTTTCATTGAGTGACAAAAGCTGGCGCAAGTGTCCGATCTGCTATGATGCCATCCATGCAGCAGATTTGAAGAGCTGCACCATCGAACAGCAGCACGCCATGAATGTGGGCGATACCATCAGTTTCCATTTGATGCGCCGACGCAAAGGTTCCATTTATATTGAGCGTTATACTGGCGCAACCGCCGCTGCTCTAGAGCCTCACGAACGTTTTCCCTTGCTAAGCGCCGTGGATGAGGCCAAACATTTCTCGAAGTTCTTAATTGCCAAACGTGCAGATGTTGCCGCTATTGTTGAGCGCGAACGTCGCGAACTGTTGGCCGAGTCCGATGTATCCTGCCCAGAGGATATATTTATACAGCAGGCGCTGATAACACTAAACGAACGTTGCGAAAAACTTGGCTTAGAGCCCGAGGATCAGCAACCGATTATACAAGTCGTAGAAGAAAAGCAATTGCAAGCTAAAACTCCAGATACTGATATTGACGAAGCCTCCGTCTCATCTTTTGGCGAGGCGAGCAGCAGCAGCAGCTCCAACATCAGCAACGGCAACAAATATTATTATTTCTATCAATCAAACGATGCGCAAAACATTTACTTGCATCCATTGAACGTGAAGATGCTACAGGCATGCTATGGCAGCTTGGATTTGGCTCCAGTGCTGATCACTGCGCAGATCATACAAAAGGAACATCACTCCATGGACGAGGAACATCGACGCAAATTTACATGCTTGGGTCATTTGCCTTTGACCTGTCAGTTCGCTGTGGTCGAAGTGGAGCTGCAGTCTCCAATTATATCGACCAGCATACTCAAGCTCTTCAAGGGTAAGTGTGTCGGAGAGTTATGTATGCAAAGAGGCTTTTATTTAATCGTGCAAATTTTTAGACGATATACTACAGCGCAAGAAGGAGCGTCAACGTCGCGAGCGCGAGGAAAGGAAACGTGAGCAGCACATCAATGAAATAAACGACCGCCAGATGGGCAAACTAATTGCCAGTTCAGCCAATTTGAATCTGAACTCCAATCAAGAGTTTCCCACTGTACGTATATATACATATTTCTGCATAATTGTTAAAAACTAAAATTACTTTTGCAGTGTGGCTTTGAAGAGGATTTGCCCTTACCACGCGGCGCTGTGCCCATTACTATTGCCCAGGCAGCAAGTGGTCCCTGTTACTCCAGCGTAGCTGCCAGTCCTAAAAAGGAGTTGTGGCCTAGCATTGGAGGGGCCTCACCTGGCAGCTCCACAGGCTTGCGTCATAGAGCTCCAGAGTTTCAGGTTGGCGCGTGGGGTCGAGCTGCACCAGCAGCGCCTGCAGTTCAATCAACTGTAGCCAGTCGTCCCACTTTTGATGAAGATCATGAACTGCGTGCCGTTGGCCCTTGGGCTCTGGGAGAGTTGCTTGTGGGTGCATTGGGTCAACAGAAGCAACAACCGCGTGCAGGCAAATCTAATGCTATTGCAGTGGATGCTGTGACCAGCAAGAAGCAACAGAAGAAAGCTAAGGGCAAAAAAATGGTACCGCTCTTTGCCGTTGGCATGAATAGAGCTCCGTAGTTTGAACCGGAATAAGATCTTAACATTATTAATTAAACACGCTAATTAATACATTGTAGCAAGAAATTTTTGTTAAAAGCGCCAAGTTCGCAGGATTATTTCAATGTTATTGCAAATAACTTTTTCTGAACCATAAAACCCTTATTTCATATGTATTTCGCATTAATGTATGTAACAATATATAATCAATAAAAATGAGCATGGCAAATAATTGAAAATTATTCCATATTCACAGAACATACATCAAAAAAGTTGCGTTGCTTTCAATTTCAATTTTTATTTTTCCAAAAAGTATTTAACAAAGCATTTTGTTTATTTTATCTTTCATGTTTTGCAAAATTGAACTTTGCATCTATTTTTTATATTTTTTGTTTTCTTAGAATGTGGTTTTTGTGTATATGTATTTTATTATGTATTGTATTCATGTTGGTGTTGTATTTCAACTTATAGTTAAGGTATTACGCGAAATAATTTAATATAAATAATTCTAAATAGTTTTCATTTATCCTCCGACGCAAGAATTCATTTAAGGCTTCATACTAAAAAGTGAGTCTTGTATTGGATTTTCATTTCGTTTCCTTTTGCGCTACAGCATTTCACATTTTGTAAAGTGTTTGCAGCTTCATTTTCCATTTTTTCCTTATTCCTTTCAATTCTCTTTTGGCTAAAAATTGGCTACAGGATAGTCTTAAGGGTAGACAAGTGCAGGTGCAACTAAAGCTAACACGACGACAGAATACCACTTAGTTTAGTACAGCTAAAGCATATTGCGACAGTTTGTGTTGTGTGGAAAGAGAAATGCCACACGAGTTAATCGCACGAAAAGCCAATTTAATAAATATACAATAGTTTCAATAGAGAGAAAGCGAAACTAGCCAAATTTGAAATCTGTAAAATATGGTTGCTTGCAACACACTCACACTACAACTAACTAATTCATTTAATTGCTGCGCCGCTCTACGAACTCTGCATCGTAAACAGCATCATCATCATCATCATCGAAGTCATCCGGCGATGAGGCAACCGTCGAGCGGGTCTGATAACTGGGCCTAGCCAGTGAGGAACGGTTCTTGCTATTTCCATTCAGTGAATTTGTACTTCCTGCACTGTACTCGGCGGGCAGTTCCAAATACTCATCTGAATCATTGCCCTCGCCATCCAAATCGTCGCCATTTACAGAGCCGGACGGGCTACCGGGCGGACTGAGTGCCTGTATAAGCTTGCCCTTCGACTCGTTCCATAAATGATTCAGACGCTCTCGTCCAAAAAGCAGTAGAAATGTGTCAATGAATTCACGAGATTTTTCTTCCCATTTGGTGATAATGTCGCCCTTGACTTTGGTCAATTCACGTTTGCCACGCGACTTCAGCTCATCCATTTTGTTTTGCAAACGGAATTTCTTCTCAGATAGAAAGGAAACGTTTAGTTCCTTGGCGGAATAGCCGCGAGCCAGATTGCGACGCACATACAAATCATAATCCTTAACAATACGCGCCACAATATCCGAAGTGGATACGCCCTCGGTACGTTCCGTGGCGACAAACATGCCACGCGCCTTCAACGGGCCATAGATATCATCTAGGCCATCGTGTCCATAGGGAATGTCATCGTGTGCCACAAAGTCAATTTTATTTTCCGCTATGAACTCATCCGATAGCGTCCAGGGGGCACTCTGAACAATCTGCAAACGAATTGGAAATAATCGAGTATGAGAGAGGCATACAATCTAGATAGTCTCTAGCACTCACCTCATCAACGTAGCGACAATGACGCACTCCCTCATAGCGTTCAAAGCCATTCATGACAGTGCGTCCCTTCATGCGATGCGTGAGCTCATCATTGCATACGCCCACAATCAAATAGACATTGGGAAAGATGTTTTTGGCCTGCATCAGCTGCCTGGCGTGGCCCTGATGGAACAGATCGTAGATGCCATCCGCATACACGCGCACCCGACGACTCGTCTGACCGGAGCGGGCCATTTGATAGGTAATCCGCTGAGTATAGTCGCAACGTTCACGTTCCAATATAGCCACCTCATCGCAGGAGAAGGGCGCTGGCTTGCAAATTGTCTGCAAAGGGAAAATGGAAAACGGGGGCTTAGCCAAGCTAAACTTTGACACATTTTCAAGCCCTTACAAACTCCTTAAAGTCCATGTGCAGCGGTAACATTTTAAACTCAAACATTTGGGGCGTCGGCGGCGCCTCTTGCTGATCGGACATTTTTAGGAATTTTTTCTTTTTTTTTCCTTTCTTTCTTTTATGGTTTGTATATATTTGTATCAAATAAATATATATTTGTTTAGAGCTGTCGTATCACAGTGAAAATATGATCTGCTTGGTTTGCTTACAGCTGTCTAACTGAGAGCTCCATGCGGCAACTGCTCCCACTTTGCCAACCAGCCACAACAAATGCTCGGCTCACTGCGACTTGCTGTCGAGGATTCCGATTGGCCGACTCAATTGCGCAGCGGCTTTCAATTAATTGGCGGCAACTGCTTCCAAATCAATACAATTGACAACAATAAAGTGAACGGAAGGACGGACGAGACATGGAAACTGGCCACAAATTTCAATTGAATCAATTTGAGTATATGCATACATGTATGTGTGCATCTCTAAATTTACATTGGGAAAACGCTGACACTAGTCTCGCTCGCACGACTAGGCACGACTTGGCACGAGGCGCTGCTCTCAGCAGCATCAGGCGATATCGTATGATACCGTACTGAACAAGTCAGTTAATGGCGAACGCGAGCAGCTAATCAAAGTGTCGTCAATCAAATTCGCAGCAGCGCAGCAAAACTGATTGCCAAAAACAAGAGAAAAAAATCAGATCACTTTTCTATAAATGGAAATGTTGCAGCAAATACAATAAACAAATATAAATTACACATATAAAACGTTAAAAGCTGAACTGATTCAAGCACACAATTTATGTACGAACCAAGACCGAAAGATAGAACGTGAACTGAGTTAGTTCTAGCTTGGAGTTACAAAGAATGAATGTTAATAATGAACCATGCCTGAAGATAGCAAGTTGTCGCGCAGTCTTTAAGTACGCAGCCCTGGTTTACTTCATTTCAAGCTCAAGCTGGTGTTTATGGAGTTTCACATACCAAACCTTAACCCTGTAATTAAGTGGGTTCACAGTTTGAAGGTGGGCAGCCCTGGTTTACTTAAATTTATTTTTAAGGCTAAAAGCTTATTTGAGTAAGTTTAAAATAATCTGTAAAATGCAAATTACAAAATATACATTGGCAAAAAACATTAGTCAAAAATATTCCTCATTAAAAAGTTAATAACTTGTGTCAAGCAAAATAAAAGAAATAGCTAAAAACACATTAATTAAAAAAAAAACAGACATTTGACATGCACACCTACATACATACGTATAAATAAGTGTCAGTATATATATATATATATAAATGTATGTATCTACACTATATACATATGTATGTGTATGTATGTACACTGAAATCATTTCACGCTTGAATAATCTGCACGAGGAAATAAAATACATAAAAATATATGCAACTAAATAGGTTAATACATTTGTACATATATATTTATATGAGTAATGAATGACTTTTTTATCAACTAATAACTGGCCACAAGTTATCTAATAGCTTTTGTACATTAATATAAATGTATATTGCGAAACAAAAGTCTTACAGACATAATCAATTCTAATATTGGCCAATCTAATACATCTACACAATCTACACATCTACACAATACATCTAGTCTCTTTCGCCTCTATTAGTCATCAACTATTCGCAAGAATAACTCTATTTTCCTTTTTCTTTTTCCTTGGAAATCGCAAGATTAAATAAAACAAAGACGCTTTTTTATAGAAATTCTTTGAAAGTGCGAATTTCTGTTTACAATCTCCGATGATGCAATCTATTTGAGTTGACCTTGTGAAAGGCAAAACATTTCGCTTGCTGTCTCGTTTGCACACTTACCGCTAGATCAGCAAATCCGCTGCTGTTGAAAGATTGGTGGGAGGAGGATGCGGCCATTGTTGAGGACGTTAACGGCGGTGGAGTCGGCGTGGAAAGTAACATTGGTGGTGGGGACAACAGCGGCAATACCGGTGAAGCTGTGGGCGGAACATATTTGCGTTTAACTCCAGTGCTGCCATTGAGATACTCCTCCGACACCGCAGTTGAGGAGCTGGCGGGCAAAGCGTCATCAGGTGAGGTCGCTTCGGCGCCGTCATCCGCCTCGCTCTGTGAGATTGTGCGCGTGACGTCGCGCAGTGTGGTCGCTGCGTGTGGCCCAGCCATGTCCACAATTATCGGCTTACCCGGGCAGGGACTACTCGCCTTGGCTGGAGGCGTGCCTGTGGTTGTGCGCTGAGTTGTCGTCAGTTCTTTGGCGTCAATGGCAGGCATGGTAATGGCTGTCTCGTAGGTGCGCTTTCGAGTGCTTAACGTCGATGTGACTACAACGGCGCTGGCAACAGCAGAGGCAGCTGCGCCCGCGTTAATTGTGTTGTTGGTGTTATTGGCGATTACGGATGAAGTTGCCATCGCAGCGTCTCTGTTGTAGCGGTCGCGGCAGTTTTCCTGATTTACTCTTAAAACTTGTACACACTAAAATTGAACTCTTCGTTGTTGTTGAAATTCTGCAAATAGAGCGAACAAGTGTATACATAAATAAATAAACGAATACATGTAAGCGAGAGCAAGTGTGTACATATGTAATATGATGTAAATTCATTTGTGTGCGCGCGTGTGTACGACTGGCGCTGTTGCTTCTTCTTGCTCACTATGGCGGATACGACACGTGACATTTTCAATAAATTGCTGCCGGATGCCATGGACAAATCAATTCGCTATAATTGTTATTTGTTTCGCTTTGCCACGCGCTTTGATACAAAAATAAAACAAAATGCAGCAGCGAAATAACAATAAAAACGAAGGTAAAGAATGTTAAAAACAACAACACATTCTGGCACGTATTCAGCATTCATCATAGGACTGACAGAAAGAGAGAGATAGTGTGGGAGCGCTCTCTCAGCTTGATCGCAAATGTATTTCGAGTGAGCTAAATAGAAAGTAAATCTTAACACATACAGTTGATCAAATACCGTTATTGTTGGGTTCGATGACAACTCGAACCATTCACTATGCACACATACGCACATATACACTTATAGATACACAATTTATTAATTAAAGTCCAAAAATGCACGTAAACACAAATATTTAGGGAGCGTAAAGAATCTATAGCTATATAGATATATTTCTCTCTCTCCTTGTCTCTCGCGCACAAGCGCGTTACTCTGTGCAATCAGCTGTTCGTTGCGTGCTTTTTATACAATTTTTAAATTTATCCAATGCTGTGTGCTGGTCTCATAAAATATTTATATAGTTTGTTTAGAGCGCTGCCTGGCCTTGACTAGGCATATTACGTCAAAGCTGTTTTGTTTGTCTGTACGCCAGAGCCTTAGCGTTTCTTATCGTGTAGCTATGATAAGGTTAGTAGGAAAAATATACCAGCCCGGAGACCAACAGTTAGCCCTTAAGGGTACTCCGTTCAAGGCTGCTAGTGCTTAGGGTTCAGCTGACTCATTCAATTGTGCACATGCTAAACCGGCTTTGAACCTGCGCATTCTCACTCACGATCGCGCGTTCGTTCAAGTTCAAGTTAGTTTTACACAAAACTGGATTTTATGCCACTGATGTAATCGTTATTTTTGCTCTGCGGTAGAAGAAATGGTGAAATTGAGACTGCAAAAAACGTGATAATTCGGTGCCAAGCAACAAGAAGAATCGTAACGTGGTTTTAAGAGCAGCTGCGGGCAATTTTTGCTCAGCCAGTGGCGTCGCAAGCAAGCGTCAGCTCCAATCGTACGATCGGCGAACAGTCTCATACACACAAAAAAATTTGCATACATTGATCCCCTGCCAGTGTATGCATGACTCAAAACGTAAACAAAGTACGATGAAAAAAAAAAAACCAGAACATGGGTACGTGGTAAATGAAGAGTGCAAAACGCATCTGAAAATGGGCAGATGGCAAAGTCAGCAGTGATAAAGTTGGCCGCCTGGTAGCTACCTGTTGTCTAATCTTAACATTTTACCTCCATTATCTTTTTGAAACATGTTTCCGCTGCACTCTGTACACATAAGTTAATGAGTTCCAAAATGACGAAGTGTACTAAGTACATAGATAAAATAATAGTTAACGGTAAAATATATAAATACATATATAGTATGCCATATGTCTATATATTGATTCAAGCACGAGTTCACTGATAAGCGGCGAACGCAGCGATAACAGGCGGATCTATACATTGTATATACTAAATACGTACTCTACTTAATACTTTGAGTGAGCGAACCTTGCAAAATTCCCCACCAAACAACGAAAATTCACTATCGTCATCTGAAACGCCTCTAAGCTAAGCTCCAATATGGGGTTAACGTTCGTAGCTCGTGTTTCTTTCTTTTTCTGACAAAAAAGTCGTGTGGAAAGGCCAAGACGCAAAAAAATGGAATTTATGTTTTGTTGTATGTTTTCTTGGAATTTTCGTTCGACAGCGACTTTAAAGTACAGTCAACACGTAAAATCCACGTTAACATAAGGTGGGAGCGCTGTTATTCATTGATAAGCTGCTTGTCTTGCTTCTATATATAGAGCAACAATATACCATATTTTGTATTACATATGCGTTGCATTGATAACCCCACAGTTGGCTCCCAAGCATTATCACCATTCAATAATTTGCCCAAAATAAAAAATTCAATTGGAATTTGTCCGGTGAAACAGCACAACTGAAACACATTCTACTTTATATAATGTAATTAAAGTAAAAGTTAAAGCTTCTGGTACGCCTTAAATCTGTCACACTTGAACTGGCTCACGTGTTCATTGCATAAAAATATAGATAAAGAGTTATTAGCGAACTATTTGTTCAATTTACACCAGCTATTGGCATAGTTGCTCGATAAGCTGATAATCGTACTACTTTACCGCACAAATTCTCGAAAAATTCAATTTGAAATGTTTGTACCCACTGACAAAATAAATCCACTACAAACAAATACACACAGAAGTCACCCACACATGAATGTCGATAAACGGTTTCATTGAGTAACGAAAACAGCTGACTAACTGTGCGTAGGTTTCACATGCGTACGCCACGATCGAACGCTCTCTCTTACTACGCTCTCCTTCTCCTCTCCTCCGCTCTCCTTTATTTTTGTTTCGTTTCGGTATGTACATTCATAGTTTTGAGACCAGAGTCAAAATTAGGCAACGGTAAAAAAAACGAGTGGCCGCTTGGGAAAGTGGAGCATGAGCGCAGCTGGCAGCGACGTCAGCGTCAAGCATGAGTAATCTGGGCATTGCTTGGTTATTATTAAATTTGTTTTTTTTTTTTGCTATTTATTTTTTTGCAATGCCAACCGACAATGACGGTGCCAACTTTAAATCATACGATCAGAGCACAAAGTTCGCTAATAGAGGTGCCACACTTGAAAGAAAAGGTCAGAACGATTACTAAAGAGAAAACGAGAGAGCAAGAGAAATAAAATAAGAGAGAGCAGCACTGCGCGTTGCAAGTGCCACAACAAACCCATGAAAGTCGTACGATGCCGAGAGAATGACGTGGCGACGACCTCTGGTTAGGGTTAAGGGGGAGGGCTGAAAGGAATTGGCGTCGCCACGCCGGTTGTGGAACAAATCAATGGCGCAGCAGCAGCAGCAGCTGTTGTGCGAATGCATCAAATATCTGGGACCTGAGCAGCGTTGTTATGTAAACATCTGAGCCTTGGCGGAAAAAGTAATCCATAAAGACGCATATTGAGCGCATGAAGAACAAATCAAAATCTAGTGTTAATTTGCTAAATGAGAGCAGACAGAGAGAGAACGAAACAGGGCAATTGCTCACGTCACGGGCAGCGCGTCAACGTCATCGCCAATTGGCAGGGGAGCAGCAGCAGCCGCCGCACTGCCCGCTTTGTAAATATTTGTGCACATACATATAAGCATTTTTAGTGTAACCCAAAAGGCAACAGCACACACAATCTACTAAAAGAAAAATTTAGGCCAACTTACTTTCAACTTTTCTTTTATTTTAGCTTGAAATTTTCGGCTAAAAATCGATGAGTGCTCGTGGTGCTACGTTGTATTATATATTTTCTTTTTTCATACAATATAACGCACCAGGAATTGAATTGTTTTTTTAGCACTGTACGCCTGAGTGGCAATTATTAACGATCGTCGCTGATTCACTTAGTGATATTGTTATTTGTTGATGTTTCAACTACATCAAATGGTTTAAACCTAATGTGTCCGCGTCTGTCCGTCGCAACAAAACGAGTGGAAATCGCGCTCAGAGTAACTTATGTTAAGCGTTGCCACACTGTTAATCTATGCCACCGGTTAAACAGGCGTATATCGATAATTTAATAGCACGTTGCCATCAATTACATTTTGTAATCGAATGCTAATTACTTCATGTTTACAATCTTGGGGAAAACGCTATTTATAAATCTATTAAATAACTTAAATATAATTAAAATAGACTATAATATTGTATTTTTTGCCTTATTGTGGCTGTCTTTTGTATATTTATTGACACTCAATAACTTTATAAATGTTTTTTTTTTTCGCTAAATAAAATAAAAAAATAAAGCTTTATATTAACGTAAACACCAGTAATCTTAATCTCTCACTTAATTTCAATAATAATATCATTAAATAATGACAAAATTCATGTCACAAAAACTCTTTGGTACATCAACTAAATAAAAAAAAGCAACCGTTATAAAAATAAATTCACTAACTTAGGGTAAAAATTGACCAAGTTATTGGAGTAGCTTAAATGCTAATAGCTACACAATTTTTCGTACTGAACAACATTTTTTAGAATTATTTGGGATTAATTTCATAATTGCACAATTATTTGTTCAACTTTGGCTTCACACTTTGACTCTTAGACACTTGGCAAGCGAGTTGGATGGCAAGTGTTTTGGATTAGGATTAAAATTGGATGACAAGTCTTTATAGCTTAGATCAAACTAACAACGAATTCGAGTTTTGGTTAGAGATTCCCCGTTTGGGTATTAAGGGCATATGTATGAGTATTCTAGGTCACTGGTTGCAAATGTCTGTGGGTGTGTGGTTGGCTGGGAGATACATTGACTTATTATTTTCTCAGCACTGGGATGGAATGCGTATGCCCTGTGTTATAGAGTTCTCCAGCACGATGTGGCAATCATCTAGCGGCTCCAAAATTTGAATAAGAAATGTCAAAAGATTGCGGCGACGCAAAAAACTCTCCTCCTCGTATAGCTCCTGTGTGACCTTCGTCAAGGCCATGGGCTTGATGAGGCGTGTCAATAGATGCTCCCTGAAAATGCAACATATGTAATATAAAACTATACTTATTTCACTTAATTTAACTTATCAGACCTTAAACTGAGGCATATAAGCAGCTGAAATTTGCCATCTTTGCCCAATGTACTGGCCGTGCCGTTGATCTCATCCATCAGCTGCACATAGAGACGCCATATGCTGGAAATTTCACGTCGTTGCAGGCTGTTGCAACTGCCATTACTGAAGGAGGAGTCCATGCTGGATGCCGAATCATCTAGTTCCTGTTGCAGATTCTGTTCGAACAGCTCTTTGATCTTGGCTGCAAAATACACTTTAATTTAGTTTACAGCATAATCAATATTATAAAGCACCCACTAAAGTAATCCCAGATGTACAGATTACGTCCAAAGAAACGGGATGAGCGAAAGCCACAGAGGAAGACCTGTTCCAGGCATTTAACCAATCCATCATCACCACACAACAGATTTGTCAAAGTGCCCACATCCCGATCCCGGCTCGGTTTGTAATGCCACTTGACAATCACATTGACGCAGTTGCCCAGCTGATGTTGGATTTCTGAAGGCGACACCGACTCCTGGCGCTGCACACTGGGACTGCGGGTACGTGGCGGTGTGCGTGTAGGTGGCACTAGTTCGGCATTCTTAACGCTGGTGCACACACGTTGACCCACCAGCAAACGTTCAGTCGAATCGTCATCGACCCCCTTGCCCAGCCAACGGCCGCAGGGGAATCTAAATTCACAATTGCGTGTTATTTGATATTCAAATGTGGTTATTAAGTGTAAATTACTTGTAGGTGTGCCCAGTGACCTCATTGCGCATTACCACTTGCTCCACCAACCACTTGTGACTCTGCCCGGAATTGTCATGTCCTATGCGCATGGTGGTCAGCAAACCCAGATTCTTGTACTGCAAGTCATTATAAAGAAGTCAGAGAGTGTGAATGCAATAATATAGGGGTTCGACTCACATGAAAAATGAACTCCAGCGAGCCTTTGGGCACGGGCACACGTTGCGTTTCATTCATGGTACCGGAGACCATGATCCACACGTTGCTGGAGGTGTGATAGGAGCCGTGTTTACGCGAAGGAAAGATGACAACTCGATAGGGCAATTCTAAGCGAAGAGAAGCAAAGAGTGTTAATCACAAAATAAATATCTCTCTGTCTTAGCTTAGCATAACCTACTCGTTGTGGGATAGATGTTGGTAAAGCTGAAGTAGTCCACAGTATTGAGCGTGAGCAAATGATAGAGAAACTGCTCCTTCTCCTCCTCGCAGCGCAGGAAGGCAGAACGCTTGTAGAGTGTACGCAGCAGACTCTCATCAGAGAGCAGCGTGCGAAAGTGACGCGACAAGAGTTTCTTCTCCAAAGAGAGACGCACCCAGGCGCGTGTATACCCAATATGTGTCTTGATGTCCGCCATGGCCAGCACGTTTCTAAAGGGAGAGAGGAGAGGATTGTGATTAATGTGTCAAATTAGCTAGAGCCACAGTCTAAACCCACTTGACATCAAACTCCAACGACTCGGGCAGCGGGCACAGCTGCTCCAAACCTACAAACTTGTTGCGGTCCCGTGAACGACTGCGGTTCGGACTGGGCGGACTGTCGAAGTCCGTTTGGAATGTGGACAGATCTGTTCAGTAAAGAGTAAAGCTTACATTAGATGCACTTGCCATACATGATCGATGCACTTACAATCCATGCGCTTGCGCATGGCATTCCAGGCTAACGCTGGCGAAGCACTGGCAATGTTCATCTTGTTGCTGCTGGGGCTGCTGGACACAGGCGTTGCAGGCTCCACGCTGCGTGCTTCCTGCTGCTCCAGATAGGCCTGCAGATGAGCCCATAACGCCGACTTGCCCTGTTTATTCTGCAAGCCATGAGACCATATCTTCTCCAGCAAATCACACATGCTCGCTATGAGCGTGTTCTCCTCAACGCCGTCGCCTTTGAGGCCCAGGGCCACCGCCTCGTTGCCCATCTTTTCGAGCAGCATGCGCTTCGTCTTTGATTTGATGTCCTGTTAAAATTTAAGGCATTTACAGCTGCAGTCAAGAGTCGCTCGGCTATGCTTTGTTACCTTTAGCAAACGCTCCACAAATGTCCAGTTGGCCTGGGCTATCAGAGCGGGACTGACGTCCGCTGTGGTCAGATTAGCTGAGAGTCGATTGATGGCCGCATTCGAGTTGCAATTGGCACTGTTCGCCGGCTTCTGATCCAGCGATATCTCCCGAGCGCGCCACTTGTTGCCATTCTTAACTCGCCGCAAGCTGTTGCCTCTGTTCAAGGATTGATTTTGTTTTTTGTTTGTTTTTTATGAATGGTTAGCGGCATGGTTTGAAGTTTAAGTGAAATTTTGAGAGAGAAAGATTTAGATTAATTGTAGTTACTAAAAGTGAGTCCAAATAATGCAAAGGATGTGTGCGCATGCGGTGCAAAGGATCAAAACGAGAGAGAAAAATGCAAAAAAAAAAGAAACGAAAAATTTAACAACAGTTGATGAATTATTATTTGCTGTCGTCGCAATTTATTGGCTTAAGTAAATGTTAATCAATAAATTATTGTACAAAAGGAAAACAAAAGCAACACGAGTTACATTCTAATTGGAAGACAAAACAGACTGAACATCTGCACTAATACAGATACTATATAATACATATGCTAACACAATTGGGTAGTATCAACGACTTCAGGTGGAGGAAGAGGTGGAATAGAGGCTCTACGGCGTGGAGGGAAATGCGAAATGATTAGGCTAAGTTGGAAGTCGGGAAAAGGGAACGTGCTCTGGGACTGGAGTGGATTGGAGTGGAGTGGAGTGTAGGTACAAAAAGTTGGGTACAAGTGCATAAAACACTACCTCGAGGCGCACTCCTGATTCAATACACCCTTCTCGAGCAACGGAAAGCTGCGAAAGTAGGCTGCACGATTCGATAAAATCTCACTTGGCGGCGTCACCTCAATGTCTATGCAATTGAGACGCTTCTCGAAGCGCTGCTGGGAGTCCTGGCTGAGCACGCACGGCTCATAGCTGGTGGCGCAGATCATGTTCTCGCCATGTCGACGTCTGTGAAGCAACAAATCAAAGTTTTTAACTCAACTCACAGCAATGCAAGACGATGCTTACCTTAGCAGCTTAATGCGCTGATCGAATAGCTGCAGCTGCTCATCAGGCTGTGGCTCCCACATGGCCAATATTTTGTTGTCAATGAGTGTGGCAAACATTTGAGATTCAAGGAAGCGCGAGAGAAAGGCGCGATGATGTTCTGGCTGATCGGAGAGAAACGACGACTTGTCAAAGTTCTGCAATGTTTCGCGATTCGAGAGCCACTCGTCCTTGGCCTGATTGGGATAAATGACAAAGTATTCGTAGGCATGGAACATGTGAGCGAAACGATTCAGAAATATCTCCCGCAACGAATTATTTATGCGCAAATCCTGATAGTATTGTTCCACAGCCGATAAATTTGGCTTTTCAGTGCGCCGTGATAACGAGCCCATGCGAGAGGGCGGCAGTGTTCCATCCACGGCATCGACATCATGATATATGCCCACTGGTGAGGAGGACAAGGACAGAGTGGGACTGCCAACAGGTGAACCACCACCAGCCTGTGCAGCACGCATGCCACCTTTGCGACGCAGAAAATCAGCAATGCGCGGCACATGGTCTATTTTCGATGGATGCGCCACCAATGGTTGGTAGTCTACACCTGGCATTTGTGCGGGCGAGCCACCTCCGCCAGACAGCGTATAAACTGTTTCCTGCAGTTGCTGGAAGCGCTCTTTGCTTCGCCGCGCCGCCTGCACCCCGTTGGGCAGTGTGCAGCTAGAGATCATGGCATCGGCGCCGCCACGCATGGCGTAGCCATTTTTTAGGCTGGGCTCCTGGGCGCGATCGCGCTCTATTTCAAACTTGTCCAGCACCGAGATAATTTCGGCCATAAAGTCCATCTTGTGCGGAAACACGGGCAGCTCTTCGGGCAG